GTACGCACACCCTTTCCCACACTCTCTCCCACACTCAAGAAGAAGAAACGGTATGTCACACACACACACTTGTACGCACACTCTCTCCCACACTCAAGAATAAGTACCGGTATGTCACACACGCCCACTCGTACGCGCGGGAGCAATCCATTCGCGCTCAACCACATACTTGAACAGTGTCAGCTACCCCTGACATATGCGATGGGTGCCGTTACACTAGAAAGCGCGCCAACGCATCACAATGAACAGACACACTGGTCTGTGGCAATCAACCATCAAATGCATGCAGCTCCTGCTTGCAAGAAGAGGGCGATGAGTGCTCACAGTCTTATGAATAGCACTGCCACGTCGTCTACTCTCACCAGCTAAACCCCTAAACCCTACTCGCCGCTCTTCACATCAGTGGGCTGTGGTCGCGCATACAAGCGGTTGGCATGACAACGCCTCCCGGCAGCACCAATAGTCTCAACAAGCAGGGCAACAGCAGCAATAAGAACCTCAGCGGCATTTTCACCTGTATGTGTGTTGGTCGATGTGGATAGCTTGTTGGTTTGCTGTTGTGATGTGATTATGAAGGGATTCAGCAATGAGTGTACTCTTTCCGTGTGTGCGTATATGTGCATGTGTATATGTGTGTGTGTGTATGTGTATATATGTGTACGTGTGTGTGTGTGTGTGTGTATGTGTGTGTGTGTGTATATGTGTGTGTGGTTCTGTCGTACTCTGCTCTGCTGTGCCACAGGTCAGCTCTTCTCCCTGTACTGTGTGCATTACATTGTTTGCTGTGAACAGTTGTCTCGAATTTGGAAGATATTTCAGGCTGCTCATAGACTGTAGACGATGGACACTTACCTATATGCATGACTCGCATTTTTACATATATACATGACTTGCATATTCACATACATACATGATATGCATATTTACATATACACATGACATACATATTTACATATATTCATAACGTGCATATTTACATATATACATGACATACATATTTACATAAATACTTGACATGCATATTTACATATATACTCCCCTTTCTATTGAGCAGCCTCGGGTAGCAACACGGCAACGGGTCTGAGTGTCCTGGATGTCGCTACAGACAACATCACACCGGTGGTAAACCCTACACTGATTGGGGCGAGGTTGTGCGGTGACATGGCCATAGTCGTGCGGTCGCTCACAAGTGTTGTGGTGGCATCCGTCAACCCGAAGGAACTATCTGCGGACGTATGTCTGTGGGTGTGCGTGGTGTTTACTTTTATACGTCTCTATAAAAGTGTGCGTATAGGATTGTTTGGGTGTGTGTGCGTAGTAGGTTAGATATGTCCGTGGGTGTGGCGTGGTGTTTACTTTTATACGCCTCTATAAAGTGTACGTATAGGATTTTTGGGTGTGTGTGTATGTAATAGGTTAGATATGTCTGTGGGTGTGGCGTGGTGTTTACTTTATACGCCTCTATAAGAGTGTGCGTATACAATTGTTTGGGTGTGTGTGTACGTAATAGGTTAGATATGTCTGTGGGTGTGGCGTGGTGTTTACTTTTACACG